ATTACTGCTAACTGATTAGAAGAGCTAAATATTTGATCTGCATCTGTGAAGACTTTACTCACATTAACATGGTAATTTGCATAGCATCGTAGTCACGGTGTGAGAAGGCAGGCAGATAATTTGATCTTAAATGACCATCAACTAATATTATACCATAAAAAATGTTCCTTGAAAAAGATTTAATTTATAAATCTAATCGAATAATGTGTATATTGTAGATAATGCTACTGATTTTCCAAATCAAAAATATTTTGGTCTATTAATTTGAGCCCCTGGCTAAGAGGATGTTATCTTTTCAAGCGTACATGTCAACTTCATGTGATTTGACATATTTCAGTATTTGTGATGCAACATTGCAGCATTAACTGTTTTACATTTGAAAACGTATTGACAATTATTTTATTCACTTTATTTTAAATTGTCAAATTTCTATGACATTAATACATTAAAAATCCAACTCTCCAACTGTAGCATAGTAGTTCGCATCAGAATTGCATAATTGCTGAACTATGTTCCTGACACTTCAAAACAGCACATTGAGATGCAAAGAATTTAAATAAAAAAATTACAAGATATAGTATTATGTTGCTCTAGAACTTGCAGGGCATGTTACACTTTCTTCATAGTTTTTAATAGATGCCATTTTTTCATTCTTGCCACATTGTTGCTAAGGTAAACCCCCTTAAAATGATGTAATATCAGCATGTACTATTACTGGGAATATATAGTAGGATTATGATGCTGCTTGGCCTGCTGTGTTCATCCAGCCCTGCACCTTGTTGTCTCGGATTCTCCAGCATCTGCAGTTCCTACTATCTTTGATTCTAAACTCATCTGTTCATTTTCCACCGATTATTAAAACCAACTGCACGCTCAAAGATCAGCGTAATGGTCTGTGTTTTCTTTTAGTATTACAGGATTAATTAGAGTGTACATATTTTATTGCAGCTCTGTGAAAAATCTGAGAAACAATAAGTGACAAAATGCTTGTATTTGTTTAAAACAAAACAATGAAGTTATTGCTCTCCACTTCTGGTTGAAATCTTGTAGGCAAAATGATAGCTCCAGTAGCCATTCAGTTGCTGCCAAAGTAATAATATGCGTATTGGCTGTGTTATTGTTGCTCCTACCGTACAGTCTAAAGAAAGCTAAGTTATCATAATTAACACATGCTAATTGAGGTTATGTTTATTAGTAATTAGATTTTGGGAGCAATTTTAATTCCTGTTTATCTCGACCGCATAGGCATTTGACCTCTAGTAAACAGCATATGAAGACTCTTACTCCACTGAATGTCTTCTCCATCAAGCTGTACAAAGGGGTTGCATTGCCAATTTGCTCTCGTACATTGGCTGCTTCAGCACTTGTGGTTTTCCTATTGAATACAGTGAGAAGAAAGCCTCTAGTTTGCAGCAGCCTTTAATGTAGAAGAACCTTTGCACTAATGAGTGGTTTGTCTAGTGTTCTTAACCTTATCAGCAGTGCCTGAAGTGATAAAGGCCTCACCATTATGTGCTGAAAGATGTTGATAATTCTCAATCGCGATTTAGGAAGACAGCTATTGCCACTATTCAGAATACATGGTGAAACTAAGCAAGCCTGCTCACAATTACTATGCCAGTCTCTGTTCTATGAAGTGGACAGCTACAGGCAATACAGACAAGTAGGCAGGAGGAGGCCTCTTTTCTCATGACAAGAATTATTGCCCAGTGCCTAATAGAATAAGGGCCACTTACAGTGTCATGACTTCTGTCCTGAAAAATGGAAAAATATAAGAATTGACAGGAAAGAAAGGAATGACTCTTCTGGCGTCTCACAGCTAATGACTGCATGAAGTAGATCTATATGTTGGAATGTGGAGGTTGCATCTCTTCCTGAAAGGATAAAAAAAAGTAGCAAGGCATGAGGGCATTTTGAGTGCTGGCTACAACAGGGTTATGTAATGACAAACAGTGGACATCATTGTCCCTGTGCTCTAGAAGCAGATCCAAAGGCAATAATAAAAATGATCAGCTGAATGGTTAAAGATGGCCGAATGTTTGAAGAGATGAAGATGTAATTTTGTCCCAGTTCCCAGAGGATCTGAATTAAATATGACTACAGGGCTTAATCAAATAGCTGGTCACCAAACAACAGCCGAGGCTGCATTTTTTATTCCTAGCAGGTTTTCTCCAGTTACATTACTTATGCAGAGGTTTGTCAGCAGTGTGCATTATTAGCGCTTTAGAGATAAAACTTTAAGTGTGCTCCCAATTAGCACAACAGTGACCATGTACAGTGCCTGTGCTTAATGCCTGCTCTCAGAGAGAAGCTAGTTATGAAGGTCTGAGAAAATGAAACAGCTTAAGCATTCATTTTGAGTGGAGAGACAGCTCCTATTAACATTTAACAGCATTTGTGCAACTCTATGCGGAGGTTATGATGCAAATGAGGAAGAATTAAAAGTGGCCAGGGGTTTGTCATTGATGGATTGCAGTCTGGCGGTGTTCACACTTCTGTTGTGTCCATCATAAGCGATTACTGTGTAATTAAACCTTATTTCTCTACTCTCCAGTGCATAATTACTTTGTGAATGTAACCATCATCTAAAAGCTACCAAAATGCTTTAGCATTTAGTCTTGCAGTCATTTCTACCCAGTGTCAGATATAGCCATCAGACAGTGCAAAGGAACTGTCACTTTTAATAAGAGGCAAAAAATTAAATGAAACAGTATGCTTATTACAGAAAAATTAGGCTTTCAAGTGGTAGAGTCCTTTTGCAATTTGCATAATTTATTCTTTTTTGCAGCAGCAAGCTTCGGGCAATTTTCCTCACATTTAAATAGATCGCACATTTAAGGCTACTTAAGTAAAATTATCACTTTGCATATTTTAATTGTTGAGAAGAAAGTGAATAGAAAGGTCTGCGGCATGGACTTTTGAGTCGGTCAGATGAACGACTGTCTGATTTCTGAGCTCAGCGCTGTTCCGCTACAGATAACCCTGCAGTTCACAGACATCCACATGCATTTCATCAGCATGCAAATACAGCTTGAAGGAGTGTAACAAGTGGATCTTTGATATTTACAAACTAGCCACTAATAACTAGAATGTAATTTGCCTGACACAAGCATTGATTCTGTTATCTCAGCTCTGTGGACACCCATAGGTGCTTTCATTTTTTTGATTGCACCTCATGAATACCATACTTGACTGAAAGTAATACTGTGTCTATGTATACATTTTACGAGAATTCCTCACAGCCGAGTATACTGTTTGTGAGCATGGCCCGAAGGCCAGGAATTCCAGACCACTGAGGCTGATAGCAGCTCTGCTTTCAGCTAGGACTAAAGAGCAGGAAGTGTTGAGGTTCTAGAAAGGGAGCAGAGGAAAAATCCATGGCTTCTCATCGGCAGGACAGGAAAAGAAAGACAGATGTCCTTGATTTTGATGATAGCATAACAGTGAATGTTGTGAGTCTGTCTCTCTAAATTGTGCTGCAAATGAACAACTTTACTTTGCATAAAATTGTTTGCTGATTAGAATTGCATCAATCAATACTGGAATTTTTGGTGTAGGCTTTTGGAACTGTGAGACAAGCTGTTGGGCAGTTTTTAAAATAAAATGTTCAGCAGCAAATCATTCATTAATTACAATTTAATGAACCTGAAGCAGCTACTAAAGACCTTCAGAGGTTTATCAAAAATGCGGTGTGACCCAATGCTCATAAATGACCGAGCACAAACTGAAGATAATCATATGTTGTCTTCGTAATGTCATATACGGATGTGTGCCTTCACACCAGAAAACAATTATTTCATTAACACAACCAATTCCATGTTTAATGTATATCTGATTTATTATAAATTGAATTTTAAGTTTTAAGAAAGCTCCCTGAAGACTGGAAGACCTTTTTCATTTCTCAGCGGCAGTGCTGTTTTCTCATCACATTTCAGATTGAATTATGCTGGAAAGAGTGTAATTCTGTATGTTACAGAATGCAATAAGTATTCTGGAAATGTAAATTCAGATTTCCAGAGGATTTGACTGGAGAAGGAATGGGGGTCATAAAATGAAGGTATTTGTAAAGCTAAATCTAAAAATCAAATGCTGATTCCACCGGCCAGCAGAGCAGTCTCCCTGACTCACCAGGGAATACAGACACATACTCACCTCTACACTGGCAGGGATCAGATGCAGACACGTTCCCCCCTCCCCCCAGCTGATCAGCATTCCAATGTCACCAGGGAACATGGATGCTTGTTTACCACAAGACTTCCAGGGATTGAATGCACACTAGATGTCCTGAGAAAACTTATGTAATTTTTGTCGCTAAATTTCCAATAATTAAATACACTTCACTGTAAACTGTATTGGACAAAAGACTCATACTTTAGATGGAAAGGCTGTAACCACCCACTATCTTACTAGAATAAGAACAAACATAATGGAGAGAAAAAAATATAAAACTAAAATAAGACCTACCTTTGCTGCATTGTTTCCAGACATGAAACAGCAGGTGCTCATCCATCATTTGTCCTGCTAAGTGGGAATCTAATGGTTGGACACACAGAAGGATGTCCATCTGTATACATGTGCCATACTATTTATTAAACGGACAGGTCAAATAAACCTAAATGAACTGAGCATATGGGTCATTCTGGAGTGTGAATTTTGTTCAGTTTTTGCCTGTGTAAAAGTCACTTTCCGATCACATGGAATAGTCATAGCAAGGGGTCAAAAGCTACTCGACCATCTGTCAATAGGAATCTGTGAATGTTGTAAATGCACAAATGAATATACACTTTTCCTTAGGAAATGGTTCTGAAGCAAGGTGACTGACACTACACAGCAATCACCTGGGAAAATTTGAACCATTCACGACATTTGGAAATGGAGAAATTTTCAGTTCCCAAAAATGGCCAACTTTCCCCAGTTTTTATTGCATCACTTTCATGTGTGTAAAGGAAATAGAAATCCACAACCTTTCATATTCAGAATTTTATTTGAGGTATGCTTGTTCTTTTCTGTTTCCATATTTAGTAGCATAGCCATATACAACAAATTGTACAATAGAGAAAACTTTTCATAAAAATATCTGCCTTGAACCACAAATTTTCTTTTAATGGTAACTACTTAAACTAGTTATTCTATATGAAAATTTACTCCAATAATTTCCCTGTGGTAGCAAGTAATTATGAAAAGAAAGATTCTATGTGGCTAGATAATATAATAGGATTCAGCACTGAACTTCCAGACGACAGTGCCTTACTACTTCCTAGGACTGAGATGCAGAGGTTTACAATGATACTGCACCAATGAGGACAAAATGCATTGCAACAATTTCAGGAACTCAGTCGAGACCTCCAGTTTAATTGTAAAGCAGTTTCCAATGCACATACATTCAACCATACAATGATCCCATCACATCAGCAACTGAAAAAAAAAGTTTAAACCAGAAATGTTTCATTTACACAAATAATGTTCACAAATGATGTGAATTTATTAACTGACCTTTTTTTCTTAATTAGTGATACTGTGCAGCCTGAAAGATGGCAAAGTCTTTACGCAGTGCAGTAAAGACAAAATTTGGTTTCAGCAGATACAAAATAATATACGCATGTATTTTAAAACCTGCTGAAAATATTTATATTTTATGATACTGTATAGGACTTTTATGTCTTTAGACAGTTGTTTTCTTTAAAGATGTGAATTTAAGGATCAATTTTTTAAAAAAATATTAGTACTATCCTTAATTATTGTTCACATGAGGGGCCAGAATTAAACGTGACACACAAATTAATTGTAGCACTTATTGCTACACAAAAAGGCGTATACAGTAACAAACATCTTACCGAAATGGTCTGGTCATGAGTATTATTTTCCAGTCCAACTATATCACCAGTAGGTGTGCATTATCTACACGGCCACACTTTCCTAATGCTTCTATCATTTAGGTTGATAATACTGTTCAGTGTAATGACAGTCTTTCTGAGGTAGACTGTTCCAAGTTCAAGGACAAGTCTTTTATTTTACAAATGCATGACATTCAAAAAGGACATAAAATAATAAATACTACATGTACAATATGTAGCAATGAGGTAGAAATGGTTACAAAGAATGCAACAATGTTTGAATTTACAACAGATGTAGTTTAAACGAAAATTCTGAGTGGCTAAACTGCAAATAATTTTTTCAAGCTCTTTCACAATTGTAGCTTTATGATGTTAAAACAGGAATGATTGTGCTCAAAATACTTCAGTAGGACCATTTAAATGCTGAACATTCTGTTCTATTATTTCATTTTTCTCAGTCCCGCAGCATGGCTGACCCAAATGCCTACATTGTAGCTATCGTAAGGACTCGGATGTGCCATCCTTCCATTTCAAATTGAACTGCGTTTAACAATGCTGTGTATTGTGCTACACTACTAGTGTTACATTTAAGAACGGAGAAGAATTTAGAATGACAGGCAATGACTGTGTGCTGTAACAGGAACAGCTGATTAGGATTGGGGAAGGAGGTAGAATGTGCCATTGTAATTAAATGCTGCCTATCTCTGTGCTATAAGGTGTTTGTGTAAAATTTAACAATGACTGAAAAACATAATACTGTACAGACTTTCGTTGCCTGACACACTCCAGCATCTCTGGCTGAATGACCTCCAGCACAACATTAAACCTATTTACACTTCAAGAGCATGAGTGCTGACTAAAGAGCTTTCACAAATAAAACTAATTTTGCATTCTGTTAATTAGTTTAGACGGTCAGAATTTAAATTACTGTTACAAATATCGAGCTGTTAAGAAAATTCTGCTAACAAATAAATTCCACCCATGTAAGCTGATCATTTACTGCTCATAAATTGATAAATCAAAGAAAAATGTGTTTTAAAAGATATAAAATATTAAATTTATTTTGGGACAAAGCAAATTATTTTTTCTACCAACAAGCCACAAACTTTGGTTTCCACGTTGCATTCAAAACAGATTAGAAATGAAAAAATACGCATGTGGAAAACCATTGATAATTGTATCAGTTTAATAGCTGCAGTCTGATGGCATGCATTAGTTAAAATGCTATTTTTTTTTCAAAAACTAAAGTCTATTTGGATATAACATGGATGTCACATTTAGGTGGCACATTAGGATAGAATGGTCCACAGCACTGATGTCTGGGTCCTTTCATTTTAATCTACAAATAATCCAAGCTAAAGAAAATACTGCAAACCATTATTGGGTCTTCCAATTGGTGGGTTTGCTGGAATTATTGAATTAAGTTTCACTTTATCATTTCCAATAAATGCATCAAGACTGAAATAAAAATCTAGTTTGAAAGCAGACACCAAAATTAATGGCTAACCTAAAGACAACAAAAAGGGTCAGCACAGTGCATTGGCAAACTTTAAGAGAAATATTGATTTTAGACTGTAGCATGTTTAAAAAAAAACTGTGAGAAGGATACTCTGAAATTCTAATTAAAATGAGCCTTTTTCACAAAAATAATACATGGGGCAAAACCTAAATTCTTTATCTTCTAGTTTGGCATTTTCAGTGCAGATTATTTTTTAAAAATGCTTTTAAACTTACATTATTTAATGGCAACACAAAGTACCAGTGCTTTGCAACAGTTCTTTAACTGTATAAAATAAAGAATTGGAAAAAAACGATACATTCAGCAGCGAGCGAGACTGTTTTGCTCATGCAGTCACAAGCTTTGGGGCAGCTGCAGCCTAAGCTACTCCTGTTCAGAGACATTACCCAACATCAATCAGCTGTCAAAAACAAAAAGTTGCACATAAAGCATTAAAGGATAAAAAGAAAGACAACACAGGAGGGGTGATAAAAATGCCACACATGCCAGCTAATAGTTGTTCCAGAAAGAACACTCTACAGAATGTATGGCTGAAGGAGGGAGAAACGTGAAGCTCACTTGAGGGAAAATTAGCAGCTCACAGAAACTTGTTCTGCAGGTTAGCATACCAAAGTGTAATCTGACTTCAAAAAACCCTCTAATAATCTGCTTTCAAAGAGAATATAACAAAACTGAGGTAGAACAGAAAGCAGGACACTTCCTCCTTGGGCACATCTATGAGGAATGGTAGTTAAATTAATCTGAAACTGAAGATAAAAAAGTTTTCAGTGTACTGAAAATCTTCCACTCATTTTCATGCTTAGCTACTGCTTATCCAGCAGCTAGCCAACTGCCTGCCACATGTAGTAGCTCTGTGACCCATGACCTTCCAACTTTGACATATAATGAACCCTTCCCCACCCCCATCTCAATAACCTAGAAGCTACAACTGTAACCAGTCGGTAGTGGCTTGAAGGTCAACAGTCATAGTTCACAGCTAAGTGTGCCTTTCAGATAGTAGTGAACCACTAAATAAAGAATATGAAAAATTATTTCCCCAAATACTTAATAATTAAAGTGGCTTTCAATTGACATGTGCACCTCCTGACTGGGTACTGTAAGATCACAAACATTATTGTCAGTTGCTAAAGTTCACTACGATAAAGAGGAGCTTGGGCTGAATTTACCCCCAAGTTGGAAAGCAATCGCTTTCACAATAAGGATTCATCCTTCTGTTTAAGCCTGGAACAGGTAAACAGTGTACAAGGTTCTGACAGACCACTTCAGAATAAACCTGGATACATTCAAAGTCATCTCCTCGCTATATTTTTTTTTTGAGGTAAACATACAGTAATATTAGTAATGAGAAACCCAGCCTATGACTCCCAGCAGTACATAGTGCTTTCAACACATTCCTTTGAGGTACAAATCACAATCACTTTCCTGAGTATTTGCGGACAGAACATTAAAAGAACTGAACTGCTAAAATTAAGGTCCAGATTATCAATACCCTGCTTAACTGTTTGCAGGTGATACTGCAGAACAGACAGGATTGAGGAATACTGTTGTCCTAAGAATGGCAAAAGCTGGCTAGCCACCTCCTATTACAACTGTTGATTTCTCAATAAACATTTAGTTCAAAACTGTTTAAAGTTAAAGCTCTTGTATTAGCACATGCCACCTACTGAATTGTGAGGCAAACAAAAAAATAAAGCACCACTTCAGGCACTTGACAGCAACTGAATCTCAAGAACAGCAGAATGGAATCAACACAGAGGGTTCCTGTCCTTTGAAAACAACCCACTTTTCTCTGCACCTTGGTGAGCGTCGTCTTGTTTGAGCAGAACTAAACATCAACATAAGCTTTTCCATATGCAGCTTACATTTGAGTAGCTCTGACATTTTGCGCTCTTCCTTCAAGTTTACCCTGACTCTCAGTCATATGCCAAGGTCACTGTTGTCTCCTTAGTACCTTTTTCAACTGTAATACTACTGAAAAAGGGGTTTCTAATCCCTATGTAGCACATTACTGTGGCCAATGATCACTGCATATTCACAAGCTTATCATTGGCTGCAGCCAAACATTTTGTTCCACTCAACATATACATCCAGCTCTTTCTGGGAAATGCTTGGCTGGATCTTGCAAAAAGCATTATCAAAATCCTGGTATGTGATTGGCCTTAACTGATTAGGCATGATGGCTGAAAGGTCTGTGCCCTGCATTGCATGGAGAGGGCCTACCATTGCTTCCTGACACAGTCGAACCACATCCAAGCCAGAGAAGCTCTCAGTACGCTGCACAATCAGTGCAATCTCCTTGTCACTGAGGCAGTAGTTGTGCTGTGAGAGCAAGTGTATTACCATCTGGTGCCTTGCTGTACTGTCAGGCAATGGGATTAAAAGTCGTTTCATAAAGTATCTGCGACCAGCTTCATCTATTTCTTCTGGTTTACTGGTGGAGCAAATTACCACAACCTGATCCTCCACAGAGGTCACTGAAGTGTCCAGCTGCATGAGAAGCTCTGTTTTAATACGAGTGATGGGACTGGGTTCTTCGTTCACTTGCGATGAAAGAAGCAAATCAACTTCACTGATGAAAATGACTGCGGGCTGACGACAGCGTGCCACAAGGAAAGAGGCCTGAATGATCTTGTCCCCTTCCCCCAGCCACTTTGAAATAAGTGCTGAGCCATTGATTCGGAAGAAGGTGGCGCCCAGCTGACTAGCTATGCACCTGCCCAATAGCATTTTGCCTGTTCCTTGAGGACCGAAGAAAAGGATGCTTCTAGGTAGAGCGCTGAGTCCGGTGAAAACGTCAGGCCTCAGTATGGGCCATAAAACTTCCTCCTTTATAGATGCCTTAGCCATTTCAAGGCCTGCTATATCACTCCAGTCTATTGGAGGCCCTTGGTTTATAATTTCATTGGTTACAAGTTCTATGAGGTGTGAGTCAGTGTTCTTCAACTGTTCATCAGCTGGCCGGTTCGATGAGGTAGCTGCGCGAATGCCTGGGCCCTGGATTGGATGTGGGAGGAGTTGCCTGTGCTCATCACTACGTTCATTCATCACCGGCGAGGTGAATTTGCTGAAAGATTCGGTGGATCTTGATGGTCCCAAGGAATTTTTACCAGCACTGTACGAAGGGGGTGTGAGGGCCCTGTTTGACTGGCTGCTGAATTTTCTTTGCTGATCGGTGACTATCAGCTGTTTTGTTGGTTTAAATGCTAGAGGTGCCGACTCAGCACTCCTGTCAAATCCATTTCCTCTGTTTGAGTTTGAAATGCTATTATCTGGCATTCTGTACATAGGGCTCTGCGCAGTCCGCTGTTGTCCATAACTGTAATTTCCATAGCTAGGGTCCATTTCTCCCTGCCCAGCCATGTAGAAAGCTTTTCTTTTCAGAGAATTGGCTGAGCTGTTACTAAGTGGTGATGGAGCAATTGGTGGTAAGCCATGACTCTGGTAGCTGTAGCCTGGTACAGTGGTTGGAGGGAGAGGAGTTGGAGCAGCAATGCCCGATGGCAGATAAGCAGAGGGAGGTGGGGCTGCACCAGGACTGTAGCCAGGGCCGACTGGAGTCTGTGGGGGGTAGCCAGCGGAGGGATAATTATACACAGTGCCAGAAATATTGGAGGAACCTGTACTATAGCCTGGGACTAAGGAAGGAGGTGGAGGGGGTGGAGGAGGAGGGGGAGGCTGAAGAAGGCCGGAGCTGTGCAAAGGTGATGGATGAGGTGATGGAAGTGCTGGAGCTGACTGACTGCTGTAACTTGAATGCAGATAAGAGCCATTGTAAGCTGTGGCATATTCCTGAGAAGCACCAACTGGTGGGAGCCCCGAATGCAGACTGCCACAGGTACTTGTGGAATAACTTGGTTCTGGCAGATTGCTGGCTACTCCAGGAGAGGTTCCTATATTTCCAGAAGCATCTGTCGGTGGAAGGGTAGTGGTCACTCCTGATTTACTCGCAGTTATGACATCTGGAACACAGCTCATAGGATACACACCTTCAGAGTTCAGCGAGGATTGCCAAGGCTCACCTTCATTTTTCCGCCCATTAACCAGTCCTGGTGGCCCTTCTGAGTAGCTGCTTAAGATAGATCGCTCAGTGGGGCCTTCTAAAATTCCAGAGTATTTCTCTGCATATTTTTTCAGCAGGTTTGAGGCAGTCAGTGCAGAGATATCATCGTTGGCCCAGGCATACTGATAAGTACGTTGCAGATGGCCTCTGAACACATCTGCTTTGTGGGCTGGTGAGCGGGTCGTGGAGGAAATGTCAAAGTGCTGTTCCGGCCACTGGCTCAGAGGCTGGGCATGCTCTGGCGTCCACTGCATCTTCAAGCCTGCAAAAGATAAGATTTTAATCCGTTAAAAACTGACACTTCAAATGCCGGCTAACCTACTGTGACACCGAGTGTTTACATGAATTGACACTGCGACTTAATGGACTTAGAGACTACTGACTTCTTACTGTCAGCAATAATGTCTCAGTAAGTATTTAATTTTTAAAAATTTATCTTAAACCCTATTTACTCAAGCTAAAGATTAATAGTCACATTTCTGCATGTACAGCAAGCAAGAAGTCTAATTGTAAAAAAAAATCTTTCTAAACGCTAGCCACCTTGTGATGAGGACTAAAAAATCAAGAATGTCCAATCATGCCACCAGCTTCCATTCTTCACCACAGGCTCGATGATTGGCAGGTACTTGGAAATGAAGGTCAGCAGCACAAGTACACAAACAGCGCGACTGAAACCAAATCCCAATTGGAAAAAGTTGCATCTCTTCAGGAGGGATTTAACAAAGGAATAAATTTTTTTTTTTAATGGTAACCTTCATCAACTTCTACCTACATGAGAATGAATAACCTGGATACTAGTCATTTTTAAATTGCATCTAGCTTTAAACTACTTTATATTTGAACAACCTTTTTACATGATACGATAAATTTACAGCAAACAATTGCAATACAAGTATCATTAGCTAATGATTGCTGTGTAGTCCAAATCTAGCCTATCATAACCATTGTATATATAAAAACAATGCAAAATCATTGTGGCAAATTGGAATACAAGGCTAACATTACATTTGTCTTTTTAATTTGTAAAAACAACTCTCATTACTCCATTCCACAACAGACCCTATGACTGAACAGATTTCAGAGATACTGCATTTGTTGGTTGCTTCTCAGTACAGTTTCTGTTTTCTTTTTTAATATAAAATATGAGACACAGCTGACATATCACTTCTAGGATACCTTTCTGATTTTATACTGAACACCTAGTTAGTGCGGTATAATGCACCCTGTGCAGAACAATATGACACAGACATTTCAGGTCATTCTATAATCCAACTCTCATCTGAGTGGTCTGAGACAGTTTCAAATCTGCTTCACAGAGTGCAGCAAAGCAATCTCCCAGGCAGCGCTCCATCGCTTTCATCACACAAAGCCTACAACTCGGCATGAATTACAACTGGCCCTTTTGCTTCTTAGTCCTGTTGTCGAAGCTCTGAAAAAACAAGCGTCACTTGTCTGCCAGTCCTCTTTCTTTAGCAGCCTTCAGGGTACAAAAGGCACTGGGTAGCCTAATCCTGCCGTTCTCACACAAACTCAAACACTATTTATCAAGCTGAGCAGAGATATTTAAAGTTACATTATATCTGTGACAATCTGTGGCATGTTATATTGCATTTCCCCAAATCCTGAAATACATAGAGAGAGACTAGCGGAAGCATCAGCTAACTCTTTCCAAGTCTTACCTGAGCATGGTACACATTAGTGTTTTGGTGCAGCTGTATCAACAGGCTTCCTTAATCTCGATCATATTACAAAAAGTGATTTTTCACAAACAGTCCAGTACCCTCTGGCACAGATTCTGTGATAAGGGGGAGGCCCAGTTGAATTGAAGCATCTGTGGCACTGCTCCACTCTGAGTTATTACTGTCTTTTTTTAAAAAACAGCTCCCACCCCCTTCCTCATCTCCTCCCCCTCTTTAGCTGTTCACAGCCTGGATGAGGCATCAGATGCGACTGCTGTAGCCTTGTTCCACTAAACAAATGCAACATACTGTTTGCCTGGTAACAGAACAGCATGTCGATTCCCATCTGACACCCTCTCTGGCATTAGCAAACCATTGCACGAGACATCGGGAGCTAATTAACAGGATGATGCTTTGCTAATTGTGTTAATTTACAGGGTTTAATTCAAAGAAAATCACAATATAGCTGGCACCTTTGTCATGGTTCCAACTTACCACTGAAGAAATGTATGAAAATACGAACGTTGAAAATGTTCTCTGGCTGAAAAAATGCAAGAATCAATAGGGAGGGAATAGAAGACCAGTATTTCAGAGGAGCAAGGTTGAAACAATATCATATCCAACCATTAAAAGTTACAAAGAAAGAAGCATACTGAAAATAAAGTTTCAATATTTGCCATTTTAAACGTGACAATATTCTAAATATAGCACTTTTACACTAAACATCAATTTTAATTTTGACGCTAGAACCTAAAACCATTGCGAGTTTGGAACAATAACCAGCTTAAATGTCAGCGATTTTGTTACAAAGTAATTTTGTTGGCAATACTTCTTGAATTTTAATGTACCATAGCCATTGGAAAATCTCTCCTTAAACAAATGCATAAACAGAATACATAAACTTCAGTTTCAATTTTGTCAACATCTCGAACACTTTATCTGTAATTAATACTTGCAATTAAATAATTAGAAACAGTCACAGTTCACTATTAGCCATGTTGCCTGACAAAATTTGTTTCATGATTCTCATGGTCCACATCTTCAAATGATTGCTATTTTATGTCACTGACCAACAGACTTCTTTAAATTGAAATCTGAATCTCTAGCACATCAGCAAATACTCACTTGGCCGTGTGCCTTGATTCTTATAAATGGGGGCTAGAAAGTTAGGCAGACAGCATTCAAGAAAGTTGGCTAATTGATCAAAATTGAATGCAAAAATACCACACCTTTTCTTCTTTCTGCTAGAAGGAAGGTTCTCCGCAATTATATGCCAAGCCATAACAAAGTGCCATGATTTCTACAATTGATAGGGTGAGGAAGGAGGCTTCAAATCTTTCAGACAGAATGGTGACCGAACCCTGTGCCATTGGCATTTATCTGATCCGCGGCTTCACCAATCCACCTCTACCTCAATTTTAATTAAGAAGAATGTAACTGGAAGTTGCATTCTTACGCTAATAGATTCTAATTTAAATTCAGGCAGAAGAGCATTCCTTTTAAATCACACTTTCACACCTTGCATTTGCAGATTACATTACATCTTGGAGCAAATTACTTAATTTCTATTCCTTTTCATTTGCATAAAGAGGCACCTCCAACAATCACAGAAGCCTTTCTCTGTAAATGTGTGTTTATAGCAGGTACAATTGCAATCCCACAACATCAAATGCTAAATGAAATGGAAACAGAAAATTAAACGAAGCACAATGACTGACTTGAAACTATTCAACCATAGCTTGAACCATAGCTGACGGGCTCTGCCCATTCTCTGTGGATATGGACAAAGCATAACCGTTTGCAAGTCTAGCTTCACTGCAAACATTTCAAGTTATGGACACAAGTATTACCCATGTGCAAAATTCTCTCCTTCACATCAGTGAGACTATAAACATTTAAACAAACAAAGGGGTAGCCAAGTGGTCTGTAGTGGAGGCACTGGTGGATTATTAATTTAGTGTTGGACTCTTATTCTTGTCGCGTGCATACTCCCAAATCATCCCAAGACAGTCAACTGTTGGAATTGATTTCTGAGCTTCTGGCAGCATTAGAGCAGCCTCTCAGCTCATGTAAAAGAATCCAGAAACTAACTACGCATGTTGCACTGCGTTCTGCACAAGAGGAGCAAAGTTCATTCTGCAGCAGGAAAAGCGGAGGCCTGTTGTCGGAAAGGGAACCCTAGTTATTGCTGGGTGGGACTGGGTGCTGAATTCCTTTTTGTGGAGGGTGTCGAGGTTCAGGTTGAATATCTAATATTGCACGCAAGAAAAACTGTCACCTCCACGTGCACCGTTCCAGTAAGCAGGCTATTTATTCTCTTTTCTTAAAGCTACTTTTTGCCAGGAATATCAAACACACAAATACACAAAACAAAAATCACATTTCTGCTGTTAGTTTGGAGAAGAACTCTGTAGAAAGTCTACAGCAGCATTTTTGGCACACTTTGATTACACAACATCCCAATAATGAAATAGTTTCTGACTGGCTCGAGGGCCTCGGCTCACATTCCACTGATTAGCACCTCAAAAGGCTCAAAAAGAATGCACTTTTGTATAATTTAACGGCGCTTGGTGGTCGAGCTTTCTGCACAATGATAAAAACCTACAACATTTTACAGCACATTCTTTATGCTTTGTTAATGCCAATCTCCAGCAAAGCATGCAAAAATTAGCCACAAAGTTAACTTTAAAAAAAAAATCATTCACGATGGGCTGTAAGAATTTCCTGTATTACAGTGAGCAATGTTTAGAATTATTTTCTAGGATTAACAAGCTTTTTTCTTGCAAACTCAAAGTAATATTTTCACTACCCTGGCTCAGAGAGCAAACAACACAAAGCTGACCTTATTTAGTACTATTAATCTCTGTATTCTTTGCTGTTTTTAAGCAAACATGACTGTGCCTCCAGTATGTCCATCCAATTTCCCACCACGTAAATTGGACTGCCGTTTGCACAATTCACTATTCATTATGAAACAGCTGAAAGGAAACACAGAGGTGGCTGTTCTCGTGATGCCTTGTAGCTGGATTCCACCACATCAAAAAAGAATTTTATGCTAGGGGAGCACAGTAATTGAAATTCATTCTCATCAGACTCATTACTGCTTTCATCGATTTACAATACTAAAGATGCTTATTAAGTAACTATGCTCAATAAACCACCATGTTAAAAAAAATGTAACAAGTTCTTAACAGCCAATTTTCACCACAATTATGAATGTTAAGCTGCTATGTAATAAACAAATTGCAAAACAGTGCTGTCATGAAACTGAAGTTTCATTGTCTAGGCTTGTTTTCTTAACTACAATATAGGCTTAATGGTGAATTAGCACTGTTAATTAAAAAAAGTGTAGATAATACTAAGAATAATTTAAAATGTATTACAGTGCCATTAAAGATAGAATTGAAAACACTTATTAGAACTGTGTACATAATAGAAAATACAATGTTGTTTAATGAGTGCCTTAATGAATGTCTGTGTAACCACCCCAATTGACCGCCATCTTGGAAGTATTATAAGTAAACAATAATGATAATTATGCTTGTTGGACAAGTATTTACAATGAGCAGATAAATGAGCACAA